GAACTGTGATAGTTTGGGGAACTGTGATGGTTTGGGGAGTTATTTGGGTTGGTGGGAGATCGAGCTTAGTGGAGTGCATTGGCAACATAAATTGTGTGAAATACATTAAAATATTGGAGGAAGGACTCTTGCCACTTTATTCCTCGGGTTTTGTGGACAAGAACACAACATTGTTCCAGGAAGATGGAGCACCGTGTCACACTGCTAGAAACACCCAAAAGTGGCAGGAAGAAAATGGTATCCAGAAGTTGCCCTGGCCCGAGCCAATCTCCTGACACGAACCCCATCGAAAACCTCTGGGCCATACTCGACCGGCAAGTCAAGAAACAACCATAAAAACCAACTTGAAGAGCGATCTACTCCAAGTTTTGAAGCAAGAGTGGGCGAAAATCCCACAATCTTAAATTGATCAGATGATTCTCATGATGCCCCAAACGATCAACAAACTCCACAAAGCGAACGGAAGATCTACTAGATATTAATTAAATTATAAATATATCAATTTATGTGAATATGCCTGAAAAATTTAGTTTTTTCTGAAAAGGTGGTGTCTATTTACTTGTGACCACGCTATGTATACTCAGAATACCATTATATTAAAACAAAGGCTCAGATCAAACACTAGGATAACATTACAGTGTGAATTTAATCTTACTATAATGGAAGATTTCAAGCAATGTGAACAGAAAAATATTCTAAGAATATAAACTTCTTGTAGCTTGAAATTTACCAACTCAATAAATACCCATTTCCAGACCAGATGGGTGTCACTGGTATTGCTTAATTTTTCTACCTTCTCATGGTGGAAATACTTAGCCAAATTAAATGAAACTTAGAACAAACTTACTAAGTAGTGAAAAAACTGATTTTGTTACTAAATATTGTCTATGTTTGATTTTAAAAACAAATATATTTTAATTAAGTTTTCTCTAACTTTTTTATTTTGTGAAATTTTTAAAATTTCTTTGTAAAATGATGTTTGGAAAAACATTAAAAATAGTTCCTGTCATCTTTCAATTTAAATGTTTTTTAATCTTGAAAAGAAAGTTCCATTTTGTATATCCAGTCTATTTCAACTTAATTAATTTTTTTTTTTAATTTTTTTGCTGATTGCACCATTCACTACTTCTGGCTATAAAGTATAGGAAATACTGCCTAAACTGACAAAGCTTTATTGGTGACCTAAATCCTGAACTTTCAAAATGGTATTAGGTCAGGCTTCGTAACAGTATTTTTGTTTCTCAAAAAAAGTTTTGTTATCTACATTTTTCATTTATGGTAAAGTTAACAATAATATTCAGTAGGTAAAGATTTGGGTCATCAGAATATTGTGTAGCTTACCTGATGTCTTGTTAAAGAAGAATATTTCCTTAGCTCTAACAAATATAGTTTATGATGAAAACATTTTCAGGAATGAACAGAACATCTTAAAAACTGTAAGAAAATTCCCGGATCAGTAGTTTGTTTTCAAGTCTTCTAAATTTCCCAGAAGTTCCTTTTGTTCTTTCATGCAGGAACTAGGTCTTGTCAATAAGCCATAAATAACTTCTCATGCCACTTTAAACTGACATAAATACTTTATAATCTTCCTTAGAAAATTATATTTCAATTTTACTTGTAGCCACTTTCAAAGCTGAACTTTATTAATAGTTGTTCATGGTTATTACATTCTCAAAAGCAATACTTTATTAGCTAATATAATCCTATGCTTTGGGATGAGCAGAAAACTTTTAAAAAAATTAACAAGTTAGTTCTTTACACGTGAGATTCCTTGTAGCTGTGCAGAAATGAAAGTTTAAATTTTAAAGAATTTTCCTTTATGAGTTATACTAAATATAGGTTACAAAATTACAGAATGTTAAGTCAAAAATATTTTTGAGTTAAGAATTGTTGAAACAATTAGAATTGTTAAATTTACCTAAATTTTGAAACTTGATATGCAGGTGTGCACTTAACTCCTGAAACGTGTTCGCTAGTCATTGTAGAGTTAAATGAGAGAAACAAAATTCATACAGCTACAGAATTTCATTATAAGTAAATAGCAAATCTATTTTTATATCCAGAGCTGTATTTATTAATAGCAGCTTGTTAAACTTTACTTATCTCCAGGTTTCACAAAATATTGTAAACAGCATGGAAGAATCTTGACGAACAGCAAAATATCAGTGTCCAGGAATTCTTACTCCAACCATTAGAAACCCCTAGATTAATCTCCAAGCTTGTTTACCTTTCTTGAGCAATTCAGTGATGTTACAGTAACTGACTATAATACATTTCCCAGAAAGTGTACTTTTTAGATTTTTTGAGGATTAAAAACACGTCTACCTAATCCAAGGGTGTAAACTGCCAGGTAACTTATGTATTACATTCAACTTACAATACACTAACCCAACAACACAGTATCCAAAACTACCTTGAACTTATATAACAAAATAAATTACACTTTAATCATAGTTCCTGTTCCAAAAAAATTACAATATATAAGAACATATAAACTAATTATCCTTTTGCTAATAAACTATACACCAAAATACTTATTTTAAAATCAATCATCAAGGAAAAGGTAAAGCTACAGTAAATGTAGGCAGGTATTAAATTTACAGTTAACCTTCAAATGAACAACTTGTTTTATACCATTTACTACTGGTTTAATTCATTTTGAATTTCACTCAAAGCTACACAAGGTCTATCTGCACTAGCCATCTCTAATTTAGTAGTGAAAGACTAGAGGTAAGGCAGCTAGTCATCACCACCCACCACCTACTCTTGGGCTACTCTTTTACTAATTACCCACGAATAGTGAGATTGACCATCACATTATAATGCCCCCATGGCTGAAAGGGGAAGCTTGTTTGGTGTGACAGGGATTCGAACCTGCAACCCTCAGATTGCTAGTCAAGCGCACTAACCACCTTGCCATGCTGGGCCACACTATTGGTAGGATCTACACTGAGTACTAACTGATTCCACTTCATCTTCAGTAAATTATTGTTTTACTTCATCTACAAATTTTATAGTCCTGAAATTCAATATTTGAATCATACCAAGTAAGTTTTATTATAAAAAAAGTACACAAAGTTGATAAATTTTTAGAAGTTTAAGGGTTTGATTCTCATTTTACACTTAAGGTACATAAATTTACTGATTTTACTTGTGAATCTTGTTAACCAGCTCTAGTTCTTCACTTTCAGTATATTTTAATTATTCCTGCCTCCTAAATGGTAGTAAATTTTTGTGATGCTTGATTTGAAAGTCAAAGTAAGGACAAGTTGTATTTTTGCCATAAATATAACTTATTTCTGTTTGTTCCATAGCTTGTATACATTTGGTTGTGTTTAACATCTTATTTCTGGAATGTACTGATAAATACCTGAGTGTTTGATTTGTATATATATAAATACTTTTAATTTCTTTATGTGAATAATGTTGGTTTCTACATTTATACTAAATGAATATTCTAGTATTTACCAGTAAATACTAATGACTTTTGTATTGGTGATTTATATCTGACTTTGTTTCTACATCATAGGTGAATATTTTATCTTTACTAGTAACTACTGTTTACTTTGATCTTTGCTTGTTCCTGATTTTTGTCTGATTTTATTTCTACATCTGTATTACACATATTATTACACTAATTAGTAAGTATGTGCATTAATGACTTTAGTTTTTTAGTCAATCCTAATTTCAATATCTGTTCTATGTGTATGTTTATCTTTACGAAACCTATATGACTTCCATCTGTGAGTGTTGTATATATTTGATATGTTTTCTACATTTAGAAATTGCATGTACCATTAAATACTTTTGACTTGTATTTTTGGGCATTCTTAACATGTTTGTGATTCCATTTCTGTATCTTGCTTAAGTGAGTGTTTTGGGGCATACCTTTGGGTGTTCTTGGCATATATTTGATTCTATTTCTGTATCTTGCTTAAGTGAGTGTTTTGGGGCATACCTTTGGGTGTTCTTGGCATATATTTGATTCTATTTCTGTATCTTGATTAAATGAATGTTTTGTTTTTACCAGTAGGTACTGTTGATTTTAATCTTTAAGCATTTTGATTTATATCTTATTAAATATCTATAACTTTAGTGTGTGTGAATTAATGTTAACTTCTGATCATAGCAAGCTTCCTACTTATATACTTTTATTACATTCTTGCTTATAAAGATTAGAATACATTGCTTCATCAGCTGGGTACCCTTGCTGTTCATGATATTTTTTGCCATAAACCCAATAATATTTGTATGATTTGGCCAGCTTAGGAGGTTTATGTTAGCCCTAAATACACATAATAATGTTTTTATTAATATGTTTTTATATTGTGTAACAATAATAAAACATTATATATTAGATGTTCTAACCAATACTTTTAATGAAAGTAACATTAAAGAAAGAATATAATATACCTTACTTATGGAACACAGAAACACAAATGGCTCTAACAGTTAAGTGTTTTATTTTTTTAACTGTAAAAACCATGACTTCTTTGTAATGAATATATTTTCTGCCTTTAGGACTTGTCAGCAGCTGTGCATTCTGCATTATTGTGATCATCACTGGACTTCATTGAATAAAGGAATTCATTTGTCTGAAAGCAAATAGTTAAGGAAAATATTGTCTTGGTTACCAACACACAACTGAATTCACTATATGCTTACGAAGGTACAAGTTTTTACAATTAACATTTAAAAGATAAATACTGACTGCTTTCATATTCAGAGTAAAATAATTTTAAACTGTTTTTGTTGTTTTAGCCTTCAATGGTTTTTGTTTCTTTAGGTAAGACGAAAATTCATAATGCAATAACAATGTGTTGCATATTTATCATTTATAGTGTTTAATTTTAAATTCTGTTTTAAATTTTCTTTTTAACAATTAGAAAAATTGTCTTTACAAAATATTTTCTCAGTTTAAACATCAGAAAAGAATTGTAAAGTGTAATACATTTAACATTCAAACATCAAAGTGTTTAACAAAAGCAATAGGAATGTATTTGAAAATAAAAATGAGAAAGTTAAGGGCCGAAGTTTCAATAAATTATATATTGTATCATATTTGATTTATTTAACTTTATATTTTAATTTTTCAAACTTCATTTTACTCGTGAAATATAACATTTGCTTATAGTTTTATTACATTATAAACCTCCCATTTTTATATATAGTTATGTTCATAATAAAGTTAAAGGAATTTTTTTTGGGGGGTGATGAAGATATGAACAGTTAGTTTAGATCTGGTGGCTATGCATACTCTTGTATTACAGTTAGTACAAATAAAGGATATATATATGAATTTCATCTTCAAAGTCTTTATATTAGTATTTTTATGAATAAAGTAATAGTTTCAGTAATTATTCTGGTTGTAGCAAGAGCCAGTGATTGATAGTGTAAATAAGCAATTAAACATTTATAAACTTCAGCAAAGAAGCATTTTTATTGTGAAACTATAGAAATTTTATTGGCCAAATCCTCTGGCTAATCCTAAAGACTATTTGTTTGTTTATTTTGTATCATGAACATGAATGTACATATATTTGCCTCTTGATCATGATGATTTCAGGTAACCTGTTGTTCCTAGTAAATGATATTTCCTACTTTGATCTAGTTTCTCTATGGCAGATGTAGTAAACTGAATTTAGTATCTTATTTGGCAAAAAAGTCCTTGAACTTGTGTACATTTAGTACACAGTACTAAGTAGGTAAATCTAAATCTGTATTAACTTTGTTTTGTTTTTGTTTGAAGAAGGTACAGAGCTAATTAATTTCAGTAAATATATATTAAATGTATTTGTTATGACAAATAACTGAACTCTGTAAGACTGAAATTTTTATTGTGGATAAAAAATACATATAAATAGGTTAATTGCTTTACTTGAACAACTTATATATATTAATGCAATAGCAGTTTGCCACACATGTGACTTCAATTGCAACGTGTTTTGTGTATATGTTTGACTCAATAGTGTAATACCACCAAGGTAGCTTAGTGGTTGGAGATATACATCACAGCCTTTTCTGAGGGAAGATAGTACTATAGAAAGATTGGTAAATGATGTAGTTCCAAAGGATACAATATTTAAAACCAAAAAGCCTTCAAGGTTTGATCTCCATGGAAGCACTCAAATTAGGAGAGCAGTGGACTACAAAACCTTACTAAAAGCTAATCCAGAACAATGCCCTCCACAATGAATTGAAGACTATAGTTAAGCAAAAGACTTTCTGACTAAAAGCTGGTCGATTAAAAATTGTAGCAACACGACACTTCTCAGTCAGGCATGTTCTGTGTAGGGCACTTCTCAGTCAGGCATGTTCTGTGTAGGGCACTTCTCAGTCAGGCATGTTCTGTGTAGGGCACTTCTCAGTCAGGCATGTTCTGTGTAGGGCACTTCTCAGTCAGGCATGTTCTGTGTAGGCCACTTCTCAGTCAGGCATGTTCTGTGAGCATACACTGATTTGTTGGTAAGTACAGTAAGCCACTGTGTGCATGATTTGAGAAAGATACTGGGAGAGTGGTGATAATATGTGAGTATAAATGACATTTTAATAAGTAAACTAGTATGTGTTGTATTAGTATATTTCTTGATTTGTGTAAATATATGCAATTAAAATTTTTCGGAGGGGGGGAGGTCAAAATCTTCCCGCTTAGTGCCCCAGTGGGTTAACAATGCCCCTGCTCTTCGTTAGAATGGTTTTCTAAATTTATTGTTTTCGATAAATAGATAATTTTCACTAGATAAAGTGCTTCCAGTTCAAATTAGAATAGAAAACAAAACTTTCAGTTGCAATCTTGGTAACGTGACTGAAGTGCGACTTGTAACCTTGATGATGTTACTAAAATGTTAGTTTGTAATATTAATGATACGACAAATGACGCTCTGTAATAGTGGCAACGTGACTGAAATGCGGTTTTAATTTTCATGACGAGACTACCATGCTGGTATGTAATATTAATGATACAATAAATGACGTTCTGTAATAGTGGTAACGTGACTGAAATGCGATTTGTAATCTTGATGAGATGACTGAAGTCTTCTAATCTCTTTGGCATGATTAAAATGGCTATTTTTATCATAACTAAAATAGTATTTAGTTATTTGTCCAACATTTTTGTAATGAGTTGGTATCATCAGCTAATGCCAACGTGTACTAAAAATGTTCTTTATAATTGATTAACTGTAAAACTGCATCCAAAAAACGATTAATCAGGAAAGGCTTGATTTTTCTTTATGAAAAATTAAAATAATTTCACACAAAAACGCAATTAAAAAAACAAGTTGGATATCTCGATAGAGTGATTGAATAGTTTACCTTTTAAATTGAGCCTGTATAACAAACACAGATATTATAATATGTGTAGAGCAATAAAAAAAAGATACAGATGTAGGGTCTATTTCATATCACAGAATAGTATAACACAGGTTTGTGTGTCCTTAGAAGGAGTTCTAGGGGGAAAACCCTACTCGAATGGTAAGAAGTTTGTTTTTGCGCAAAGCTGCAGGAATCGAAACCCCGATTTAAGCATTGTAAGTCCGTAAACTTAATGCTGTCATACCGAGGGGACCGGTTAGTAGTGTCTAAGCATTTCGAAGTCGTGGAACTTTCTTCATAAGATTAGTATCTGAAACATTAACCTGAAAATTATGTTTACAAAAGAACAGAACAGGTTTTAGTAGAATACAAACAAAAAAGAAAAAAATTTGTGATTTCCTTATTTGGTAAATTATCAATGCTTAAATTAAATATAAACTTCATAATATTATTCAACCCTTTACCAGTTTATAAATATAAAATGGTTAACTATGCTCAAATTACTTAACACGCGTACATGTATTTGGATGAATACATGTATATGTGTGTGTGTGTGCTCTGAGACGCAATTAAACACAATTCTTTATGTTCGCCAGGTTGAGAAATATTAGTGATATAAATATTTCTTAGGATAATTGTCCAAAATTTGAAAATAGTGTTCAAGATCTGTCGTTTGATTTTCTAATTTTCTCTTACTTTTCTGGTGACCTTCGAATTTTAACTAAAAAACAGCATATGTATTTTAAGCCTTTGACACTAACTGCGTACTATGAGGTGGCCTACAAGAAGGATGTAAAGGTTTTTAAACTTGGTGCAAATACGTTTTTTTCATGCCGAACAAACAAATAAGTTTGCGATGCTGTTCACATTACTGTAGAAGTTAAACATTTACTTTGTATGACCTTTTATTACCACGATGGACATTTTTTCTCAAAGTAGGTACTAGAGAAATTGATTAAAGGGGGGAAAAAAAAGCCGCGCGCAATGTTATTTTTGCAAATGAAAAGTGTCTTCGTTTGTTTTGAATTTCGCGCAAAACCACACGAGGGCTATCTGCGTTAGCCGTCTCTAATTTAGCAGTGAAAGACTAGAGGGAAGGCGGCTTGTCATCACCACCCACCGCCAACTCTTGGACTACTCTTTTACTAACGAATTGACCGTCTTATTATTACGTTCTTACGGCTGAAAGGACGATCATGTTTAGTGGGATGGGGATTCGAACCCGCGACCCGCAGATTACGAATCGAGCGCCCTAACCACCTGGCCATGTCGGGCCTAAGTATGTCTTGAACGTACATTTTTATCGTGTGTTCAAACTGTATTGTCTTGCACTAGTATCAGTAATGTGGCAAACGGTTACTGCTGATAAACTGGACGTGACTTAACAAACACGACATTGATACTAATGAACATAGGCGTCTAACATATAGAGCAGAGGGGGCACGTCCCCCTCTAAAATTTTTTCCGTCTTGTGTACATACGCCATTATTAACAATTATGTTATATTGACTTACCTTCCTCCTCCCCACACTTTCCAACAAAGTTAAGTCATGGTACTAATGGATCAAATATATATTAAATGCACGTGAATTAATTTCAGTAGCAGTCTTCCTAAAACTTATCATTATAGATGAAAAAATGTGAATATTTATCATATTAAATACAATCAAACCAATCAGAACACTTTAAAAAGCAAGACGTTTGTAGTGACTAGCCCCCTCCTTCCCCCCAGTGATACAGCGGTATGACTGCGGACTTACAACGCTACAAACCGGGGTTCGATACCCGTGATAGGAAGAGCAAAGATGGCTAAATGGAAAGAGCAGCAAAATAACGAAGTCATTGAAAAGGATATTAAAGTTTTTGTTTATTTTATAATTGTGTTTTCTCAAAATCCGAAGCATTATTGCTTTTATATCTGAAGTAGATTAAATTTAAAAATGCAGATGTTTTATGTATTTATTCTTTATTCACCTTTTAAATTTGTAAAAATAGACTGCTTCGTAAGTTTTCAATCCCTTTACTGTGGCAGCAGTGTTTATTCTCTGCAAAGAACTTTTTTTTTAAATTTTGCTATAAAGTTGCGGTTTTTGTTATACAGTTTCTAAGTCACTATTAAGATACATTGGTTGTGATATGACGGCAAAATCCTTTGTTTTGTGACGACAATTTCATCTTTTTTGTAGCATTCAAACAAGCCCCCCAGTGGTAAGTTTAAGGGCTTATAATGCTCAAGTATGGGGGTTCGATTCCCCGTGGTGGACAGAGCAAAAATAACTAATTGTGTAGCCTTGTGCTTAAAACAAACAGTCAAAAAATCTCCTGCCCCACAGATTTAGGCCTACTGCTCTCAGTTTAAGTAATTTATATATCCTGATATACGTACTCTTTTTATGTAACCAGTATTCAAAACTTATTTGGTTAAATCTTAAGGTTTTCTAATATTCACTGCTTTGAAATTTTAGGGATGATACTAGGGAAGACCTTTTTTATACGTAATTAATCCTATTTTTTGTTACAAGTTTATCAATAGATAAACAGCTGATGAAGTAAAACAGTGAATGTGGGAGAAGCCCTAGGACTTGTACCAAAACTTCTGTGAAAGTACGATATCTTGCTGAAGACATGTGGTACTCACATGGCATATAATTGCGAGAAAACTTTGGAATTTACCTGGGATGCATTATATGCGTAGCCAAGGCAAATACACCCGTGCAGAGAGATAGAAAAATGCAT